TATTAGGACGAGTTTGCTACATTAGAAGAGAGATATGTTAGGGTTTTGTTTTGAGAAAAAAAAAAGGAAGAAAATGTATGACTAACTTGGAAAAAAGCTCATGAAGAAGAAGATGAAAGAGAAAGTGGATGAACTAGATTATCTTTAAGTTTAAATATGCTTATCAGGAAGAATTCACTGCATGTGGAAGAGAGCGTTGTTAGGGTTTTGTTTTGAGAGTCACAAATATTATGAGGGAAAGCTTGATAACTTCACAAATAATATGTAAGTATTATTCACAACGATTTCTGGTATTAACCATGGTGATAAGTATTTTTATTTTAATATATTTATAAAAGTAAAATGACAACCTATTTCTGTAACGAAAAGAAGAAGAAAATATTAGTGCTGGGAATTGAAGCAAGTAACCTTTAATATATCACAACGGTTGTGTTTAAGGACCTTGATAAAATATATTTTAATAAAATATTAAAAAATCCACACAAGCAAAAATCAATTATTACTACGGTTATTTAGACGGCTGTAGTAACAGTAGTGTTACCAAAGATATATTTTGTAGTAGTGTTAATGATGGGGGACATCTAACTGTTGATGACGTCCAACATAATCATATGGGCGGCCTTATCCTCTGTGTTGGGGATTTCTAAAGTTTATTGAATTACAGTTTTGTTAAGACATACTTTTTAGTACCAACGACATTAGTTAATAGATCAACCCTAATGTTGCCTTCTCAGGGTATATGGACTACAAAAAGTTAAAAACTCTTAGATATTCTCTAAACGGTATGCAAATACTTGAATAACAAAGGATGTTTAGTATGATACTATTGGAAATAATTTATATTTTAGAAATGTCTTGTTGACTAAGTATGTTAGAGGGTATTTTATTATTTTATTATACCCTAATATTGTGTATAAATAGCCTAGTAGTAGGTAGGTCAATGTATCCATTACTGCTTATTTTATAGCCGTCATTTAATATATTCCTTTTGTCTTTCATTTCTCCTTTGTGCATCAATAATTGGTATCTAGAGCTCTGGTTCGAAATTCACGGGGAAACACGGGAAACACGAGTAAACATTTAGGTGTTGTATGGTTGAGAATCACATTTTTTCTGATTATGTGGGATTTGGGAAACACTGTGTGTTAGTGAGGTTTTGAGTGAACTGCACAAGGTTCAAGATGAATGGAAACGGCGATATCAGGTCCAAGCTTCCAGTGTTTGATGGCAAAAACTAGAATCGTTGGAAGATCCAGATGCGCGTGTTGTTCTATTCTTAAGATATGTTAGATCTTGTCACCGATGGCTATGCTACATTAATAACAGACGTGGTGGAGGCACAAAAGACAACACAGAAGGCGATAAGGAAGAAAGATCAAAAAGCATTGTTCTATATCCATCTGTGTGTGGATGCAAATGTGTTTGAGAAGATTGTTGACTCTGAAATAACAAAGGATGCATGAGACACACTGGTCAGATGTTACGGTGGTGACGCATCAGTGAAGAAGGTGAAGCTTCAGTCTCTAAGAAAACAATATGAGAATCTCAACATAAAGGACAACGAGAAGGTTTCTGGGTACATCTCTAGAGTGATTTTGATCACTAATGAGATGAAAGCTTGTGAAGAAACCCTTTCTGAACAAGTAATCATAGAGAAGGTATTGAGATATTTAACTTATCAGTTTGATTACATTGTGGTAGCAATTGGACATTCTAAAGATTTGGACACCATGAGAATAGAAGAGCTACAAAGCAGTATAGAGGTGCAAGAGTTGCGTTTGACTGAAAGAACTTATGAGACGGAAGTTGAGCAGGCTCTAAAGGCTTATTTTGTCAAGAAAGACCAGAAGCAGAACAGACATGGTGGTAGTTCCCAGAAGTCAGAAGTCTTTTATTCTGATGAAAAGAAACATTAGAAGGGAAATGAGAAGTATGACAAGAGAATGGTTCAGTGTTACTGTTGTAATAGGTTTGGCCACTTTGCTAAAGATTGTTGGTCAAACAAAGAAGACGTAAAAATAGCCAGAGGAGATTCAGATGATGAACCAGTGCTATTAATGGCTTATGAATCAGATGAGGAACCTGTGAGATTGTCATTTTATGATTATGAAGGGGAAGAAGATGATTCTGAATATTCTGACTCTGAAGGAGTGTTCAAATATGAGTTAGAATCAGAAGATGACGCTGAAGATTCTGAATATGAGTCAGAATCTGAGGTTTCTGAAGATGACTTAGAGTTAGAAGATGACTCTAAAGCTGAAGACAAGTCAGAATCTGAAGGTGATTCTGAGTCTGAAGAAGAATCAGAAGATGAGTCAAAATCTGAAGGAGATTTTGCTTCTGAAGATGAGTCGGAACTTGAAAGTTCTGAAAGTGAGTCAGAGTCAGAGGGTGAAGAATCTTTTGTAGACTCTAAAGATGAGTCAGATGGTGAATCTGATTCTGATCCAGATTTTGATGATGATCCAGAATCTGGTGGTGATCATGCTTCTAGAAGGGAAAACTCTGAAGACATAAGTTTTGGAGGACAAGCTTCTAAAGATGATCATATTTCTGGTGGAAATCAAGACTCTAAGGATGGACCTTCTGAAGGAGGAGCTTTTGAAGGAAATCTGGCCATTGACGGTGATCAGGATTCTAAAAGTGGAACTTCTGAAGGCAGAGCTTCTAAAGATGATCAAACTTTTGAAGATGGTATTTCTGAAGGTAGTGGTTCTAAACGAGGTCCAGAAGTTAAGAAAGGCGGAGCTTCTGGTGGTAGTCAAAGTTCTGAAGAAAGTCCAGAAGGAGACGTTGTTCCAGAATTAGAAGGAGATTCTGAACAAGTTTAGAGGCCACATAGAGTCAGAAATATACCAAGGAGATTTGCAGAGTTTGACAAGCTGCAAGATACTGAAGGGACTCTGAGGTATAGAGTGTTGTTCCCTTCTAGTGTTAGATCAGATGCAGAGCTGATATGCTATCCAAAATTTGATTGATATGAAGACATAGTTGACAGAAGAAATACTTCTGGATATTTTTGTTTGTATCTGGAAAGTCCTATTTCTTAGTGCTCCAATAAGCAACTGGTGGTTGCGTTGTCAACCTGTGAAGCTCTCAAGAAGAAAGTGTGGTTGAATTCCATGAAAGAAAAACTTGAGAATTTAGAAAGAAACAAGATTTGGGAGTTAATTGGGCTTTCAGAGGAGAAGAAAGCCATCAACGTCATATGGGCTTTCAAGCTGAAATCTGTTTTTCTGAATGAGATTGTACATTGTAGCAACCAGAAGCAGCTAGCAGATGTTCTGACGAAGGATGTCAAGACTGAACACTTTATCCATTTGAGGGATGAAATTGGTGTTGTCAGTTTTGTGTAAATATAAATTAAGGGATGGTGTTGGAAATAATTTATATTTTAGGAATGTCTTGTTGACTAATTCTGTTAGAGGATATTTTAGTATTTTATTATACCCTAATATTATGTATAAATAGCCTAGTAGTAGATAGGTCAATGTATCCATTACTCCTTATTTTATAGTCGTCATTTAATATATTATTTTTGTCTTTCATCTCTCATTTGTGCACCAACAGATACCCGCCTTTGACTTGGTTGGTGGTTAATTGGGAGTCACTCATTACTATAAGGTGAGTGGCTCCTACTTCACGAGATAATTTTATTCATGAGATTAATTAAGGCCTCATACTCCATCTGATTATTACTAGCCTTAAAGCTGAAACACAAAGATTGCTCTAGCAACATATCACACGACCCTTCCAGCATGATTTTGGCATTGCTTCTTTTCAAATTTGAAGACACGTCCACTAATAAAGTTTAGATTTGAGGGGCTTCTGATTCTGCTGTCAAGTTGAATTCAAACAAAAAGTCTGCCAAAACTTGGGATTTGATGTTGGACCTAGGCATGAAATAAGCGTCATATTTTGATAGCTCGATCGTCCGGGCTACTATTCTTTCCACTAGATCTAGTATCTTTAGTGCCTATTTCATATGATGGTTGTTTTTACTATGATTTGATAGCCCTGGAAGTAAGGACTTAGCTTTCTTGTTGTAATGACGGACTTCAACGCTAGGCATTTTATATTATAATGGTATAGTTCATCCTCCTTTAGAACTTTGCTAACGAAGTAAAGTGGTCCTTCTCCTCCGTCTTCTTCCTGGACCAAGACTTTGTTTATAAAGTTATTAGTCATTTATATGTAAAGGAACAAGGGTCCTCCTTTTTCTGGGCGCATGAGTATAGACAGGGATGTCACGCAAATTTTTAATTCTTGAAAAGATTTTTTTTACATTCTTCTGTTCATTTGAAACTCGATGACTTCCATTGTGTTGTAAAGAAATGAATAGATCTGTCACGTGTGCATGATTAAAAAAATGGGATGGTGTCGCAACCCTCCTTGTTAGCTTTTGAGGATCCTTTATCGAGGTCGGACTTCTCATATTTATGATTGTTTGACATTTGTCCGAATTTGCTTCAATTCCTCATCTTGTCATCATGAAGCCTAGGATTTTACAACCTTCACTCTGAATGAACATTTGCTTGGATTCAATCACATGTTATACTTTCTTACTAATTCTAAAGTCTCCTCTAAATCTTCTTCATGTTATCCTCCTTATAGGGGCTTGACGACCGTGTCATCAATGCATATTTTCAAATTTTGACCGATTTACTAAGTAAAACATAATCCATTAGTCTCTAGTACAACCAACATTCCTCAACCCCAAAGATATAGTTTTATTAAAATACTCCTATTAAAAAAAAGTAATTAGTTTGCGTTAAAAACTAGGTAAAACATTGATTATAAAATTATTATTTTTACTAATGACTCAATAATTTAAGAAGTAAATAGATAGTGAGTGACATATTGACACGATAATCGAGCTTACATAAGGAATAGACATATGCATCTTTCATAGTCAGGCTTGTTAGTAAAACTGAACATAAAAACAAAGACACGAGGTTTTGTTCAGACAACACACGAGGTTTGCAAAGCTCTTATCAACAATGGTATCATTTCTTCAAACACTTCTAGCCCTTCCTTTATTGGTGTTATTCCTTTTCATGAAATACAAAACCAATATCAAGAACTCATCATCAACCTTTCCAAAAGGTCCAAAAGGCCTTCCCATAATTGGAAACCTCCATCAACTTGACATATCAAATCTCCATATTCAATTCTTGAATCTCTCAAAATTTTATGGCCCTCTTTTCTCCCTTCAAATTGGTTTCAAGAAAGCTATTGTTATTTCCACACCACAACTAGCTCAACAAATTCTCAAAGATCATGACCATGGTGTATCTAGTAGACCTCCATCACATGGCACACAGAAACTCTCTTACAATGGCATAGACATGATCTTTTCACCGTACAATGATTGTTGGAGAGAGATAAGAAAAATCTGTGTTGTCCACTTCTTTAGCTCCAAAAAGATTTCTAGCTTCTCTCCTATAAGAAAATCTGAGGTCAAGAGATTGATTGAAAAGATATCTAAGCATGCTCATTCTTCCAAAGTTTCAAACCTTAGTGAGATTCTTATGTCTGTCTCAAGCTCTATGGTATGTAGAATAGCTTTTGGAAAAAATTATGAAAATGAAGGAGGTGAAAAAAGCAGGTTCCATGATTTACTTAATGAGACACAAGCTATTTTTCTTTCCTTTTATGTTTCAGATTATATTCCTTTCATGGGATGGATTGATAAACTTACCGGCTCGATTGCTCGAGTTGACAACACTTTTAAGTCTTTGGATGCATTTTTTGAACAAGTGCTTAAGGAACATCTTGATCCTAATAATAGGAAGAGAGAAGAAGAAGAGAAGGATATAGTTGATGTTTTGCTTGAGCTAAAAAATCAAGGTCATCTCTCAATTCATCTCACCAATGATCACATCAAAGCTGTCCTTATGGTATGTGTTCATGATCCTCAAAATTTTTTTCGGTTCTATCACTTATCCAAGGTTTTAAATAACCGACGCGGTCCCGTAACACTTTCGTAATTTCAATTGGTACGAATGTTGCATAATAATTAGGATTGTCAGAGTGTGAGTTAGTCATAGTTTAATATTTATCATAAAAACGATGAATAATAATATTGGTATCAGAATCAAGATTATAAAAAACGGTTAGCAATCACGAATACGGCTGCGACAAAACGGTATCAGAGCCTTTTGATACCGTTTTAAGATTGAGAAAAAAATCGTAGACGAAACATCGTTGTGACTGCGATAAAATACCATTACGCCTGCGAAACACCATTACACTTGTTTACACATCGTTATTGATAAAAAAATTATTCTAAAAGTACAAATTAAATGACTTTTATATGAATCAAAATATTGAAATTTTGAATTAAACTTCTGATTTTATAGGAATCCTACTATTTTTACATAAATCTATGTTGCACAATGTTGTGAGAAATTCACACTCCAACAACTGTTATCTGCAACACAACACTTGTACCAATCGAAATCGCGACAGTCAGAATGCGACCGCTACCATTTTTTAAAACCTTGATCAGAATCTTATTTTATCGCGATTGTTTTTACTATTTTTTAAAACCTCGCTCTTATCTAAGAAACTATATATCATCAATATCATATTTGGTTGATTACAGAACCTACTTGTAGCAGCTACGGACACAAGTGCAGCCACATCGGTTTGGGTGATGACTGCACTAATGAAGAATCCAAGAGCAATGAAGAAAGCTCAAGAAGAAATTAGAAACATATGTGGGAAAAAAGAGTTTATAGATGAAGATGATATTCAAAAGCTAGTATATCTCAAAGCTGTGATAAAAGAGACGCTGAGATATTATCCACCAGTACCACTGGCTCCAAGAGAGACCAACAAAAGTTTCATTCTAAATGGATATAAAATAGAACCAAAAACATTACTGTATGTGAACATTTGGGCCATTCATAGGGATCCCGAGACATGGAAAGATCCAGACGAGTTTTATCCCGAAAGATTCTTAAACAATGATGTTGATTTTAAAGGATTAGATTTTGAGTTGATTCCGTTTGGTGGTGGGCGAAGAATTTGCCCGGGCATACCATTGGCAATCGCGATGCAAGAAATGGTAACTGCGAATCTTCTCAATTCGTTTGATTGGGAAATGCCTGAAGGTATGAGAAAGGAAGATATAGATATTGAAGGGTTGCCAGGACTTGCTAGACACAAGAAGAATCATCTCTGCCTTGTTGCCAAGAATCATATGTGAATGTCACAAGGCAATGTTTTTTAAGTAATGTATGTGTCTGTTAGACCTCTCCTTAAGGAACTATTATGTTGGTGAAGGACTTGAGGGTTCAATCCTTTCTTGTTATTTTTTTACTCATTACATTTTTTCTTGGTTACTTTACTTGCCTAGTTTTCTGATTGTTATTTAAAGAAGATAATAAAATTAATATTAATGGTGTAAGGATTAAATATGTTTTTCGTCTCTATAAATAATTTAAATTTGATTTTAGTCTTTATAAATTTTTTTTTCAAATAATAGTCTTTTTAAGAATTTTCATTCACATTTTTTATCCTTCATGTTAAAATCGTCATTAATTCAATTGCTAAGTAGTCATCGTTGCTAAAACCGTTGTTAGTTATGTCATTAAGTTGTAAAAAAGTTGTCGTTAAATTGTACGAGGGATCAAAAGTGTGGTAAATTTTTTTAAAAAGATCATTCTTTAAAATAATTTTTTTGAGATATTAAAATTGAAATATAAGATATTTAGATGGACTACAAACATATTTAACTCATTATTTAAATAGATTGTATATTATTATTATTTTTGTTTAAATAGATTATTAGAAAATATAAAATTAAAAATCAAATTGAAAGTCTATTGTTTTTTCATTTTTTTAATTTTATAATTGTTAATTTCTTTTTTTATAGGTTAAATATATTGAGTTTTTTTAGTGTTTCAATATATAATTTTATTTTTAATGTATATTTTTAATTATTAAAATTGTATTTATTTTTAATTTAGGCTTATTTTAAATTTTAGAACAGAGTTTATAGATTGATTGGGCCGATCTTGGTTCTCCTTAATTATATTTTTTTTCTATAATAGATTAGAATATTGGATAGAGAATATTTGTAATTAATGGTTATAAATCCTCATGTGATTATAAATAGAACTAATAAAATGAAGATATGCATTAAGCCAAAATTTATGTCATGATATTAAAAGGTTTGATCAAACTTGTGAAGTAGTGACACTCTATTGATTTGATTTCGAAATTGTGTTCTTCGTCTGTGTTTATTTTGAAATGATTTTTTCGAAAATCGAAACCTAGTAATTGTTGCTTGTGAATCACATCTGGTCTGGAGAGTTGTTTGGTGGAAACATGTCAAAACTTGCTCTCTCCCCCTAATTCTATTTGCGCTTCAAAGAAGACATTCATGGTTTCTCTCGTCCCAAATTGTTCAAAAGTGTGTCATGACAGATTCATTCTTATATGGTTATCTATCGATGCTCTGAAAGTATGATCAATGGCTAGTGAATTTAGGTGTATTTGTTATTACATCTGATAGACAATATTTTGTAGGCAATATGTTAAGCAAGATGTTCAGACAAGTTGTGAGATATTTTGTCTCAAAGTACTTCATGACGCAATTGTGGTAAGCAACATGTTAAGTAACATGTTCTAACATTTTACGAGACATCGTGTCTTGAGATGCTTAGTTGGATCACAAGTTTTAATGGAGTGTATCTCGCGCTTTCAAGATTTATTTCCTTTTATGTTCAATGAAATATATGATTTTAAAGTGCGTACTCGTTTGGAAAAGATTTATCCCAAATATATGTTAGCAAGATTGAAATTCTTATTTTTATCAATTTCATATCTGATCAAGATTGATTTCAATCAAGATTCAAAATCACAATTATGAAGATTGATTTTGTACGTTTTTTGAAAACTAGACGCGTACATGCCAAAACACTACATGCCTTTTTATGTTGGCCAATTGTTAGTGTTTAAGGAGGTGTTCTCCACTATGAATACTCAGGCCTTGCACTGTGCAGCTTGAAAATTTTATTTGATATTGAGTCTTTGTGTTTTTGGTTGTAATACTCTATTATCGGATTATCTTTCTAAGTTGGGAGATAGTTTTTATGAAGATGTTGGTGTGTTTCTAATTGTTCAACAAGAATATGAGAAGACTCAAAGTAATAAATTTTTGAGTGAGCCAAATTACTGACAAATTTTGAATCAATTATCCAAGCTTCTTGATGCCTAAGTTTAAGCAACGAAGTAATTAATCATTAGTGGACAAAAAAACACAAGCAAAGATAATCGGAACATGTGCCATTTCATTTCATATCTTATTAAGGAGTGTTTGATAATTTTTCTCAGACCTGCAAAGACAGACGTATCCAATTATATTGTGTTTTGATCGTATTACATTTTTGCTTATGTTTTTGTACTAATCATTACTTGTGCAACAAGTTAGAGCCTAGATCATTAAATTAGTATGATTGTTCCATTATCCTTCACTTTATATTAGTTTACCTTTAATTATTTTTTGATATTTATTTGTTTGATGTATTTTTGTTTATGTAGTAAATATTTGCTCTGTGTGTGTGATATAAATCATTTATCTGAGCATAACATTCTATTATGGGTCGGTCATATCACTACTACAAATAACACTTCTGACGTTGGACGCGAAATGTGTTTTATCCCGGCATTCGATGCGAGATAAATAAGGTCGTCATAAAAAGTAAAGATTTATCACCTCGGTGTTTAAAATACTGAGGTAAAATTTTATTAGTGCATGAGTTCAAACCCCATCAACAGCAAATTTTATTATTTTTAAAACTATCATATCTTTTATCTTGGTTTATCAAAATAATCGAGGGGTATGATTATTACTATTTTTTTTTAAATTGTTACATTGTTTATCTAGAATATTACATTGTTTACCCAGAATATTACATTGTTTACCCATATTATTAAAATATAATTAAAAATCAAATTCCCTAGGGATCTAGATGAAAATCAGATTCCCTTAAGATGTAGACTTTAGATCTTCGAATTATTGAATCTAGGTGAAGATCAAATATTGGATGCAAGAATATTCTTTACGGATCTTGCATGCATTTGTTTCTGGTAGAAAAAGAGGGTAAGATAATTAATATCAATAATCAAAAATATTTTTGGTACAAATAAAAATTCAATAAAACAAATCTTGAACCTATGTGATTTTCTGCTCTTGCAATCCATCGTAGAGAACTTTTCCAAGCGTCCTTAGGTTTCAAGCGCCTCATACGTTTCATTTAGGTTAGATTTTCAATATCGTAAGAGAAATTATATAATGAATGTCCCTTAGGTTTCATGTGGATCACTAGTGGCAGATTCTTGAGCGTTGATAAACTTTAATTGGACGGCAAAGATTTGTTTAAGGTCGTTGCAAATAGTGAAAAATAACACTTAACTATCCTCTCGGTTTTGGAATAAAACTGAGGGATTAGATTAATTTTTTCTTACAAAAATAGTTACATTATTTACCCAGAATATTAAAAATACATTATATGTAACAAATCTTCGTAGAATATTAAAAATACAGCATGTCCAGGTTCTATACAAGATGCTAGAGATCTATTTTCCGGTGAGAATTTTTATTTTTTGATGATATCCATATTCTGAAAAGTTAAGCTCCCTTTTGTGTTTAACCTTTAAGAGGTTCAGCTCCCTCCTTTGTTTAACTTGAAGAAACAATTATTTTTTGTACTTGCGATCTATCAAATGAGCAACTTCTCGCTCAACATGTTCCTGTTAGCAAGTTAGCACATTCTATCTAACATATTCTTGTATTATTTGTTTTACAAAAATTAATGACAATCCTTAAAACTAGAGAACTTACATCAAGGATAACAGTTTTAATCTTCTAACTAATGTAACAAATCAAGGATGGGAAAACTATTTTGACTGTCTCAATGGATCAGTTTTTCCTCATCTTGTGAGAGATTTTTGGGTTCATGCAAAATCCTCTACTTATCAAGTGGTTTCGTTTGTTAAAGGGAAGAAGATCATTGTCAATGAACAATCCATTGCAAGTTTTCTTAATCATGATGGGAAAGAAACAAGATGATATGAAGCAGCTAGAAGATGGTCGGATGTGGTAGAAATAAATAAAGCTATATTCAAATTAGGAAAGACTTCAAAGACTTATAGTCTTCATGATAGTCTAAGGATTTGGGCCAAAATCCTTGTGTCAACGATTATTCAAGAATATCCAAGGAAATATGAAGTATGCATACCTGGAGATCTTCTATACCTATTGTGAGTCTAAGGCCTGTATCCAATTTATACACTATATGTCACTCGGGGTATTTAATTGTTTCTATCAAGAACATCAAGTACATTCTTCTAATCTTCACTTTCATTACTCTCTCACTTTGAGTATTAAACTGACTTGGACGTCAGAGTGTCTTGCAGGTACACACCTCTTTCTCCTCCGCTGCGTCAGAAGCACGTTACTACGCCGTTGGAGATTAGAGCTACTGGTTCGTGATTCGATATCAAAGATCAGTATCTTTTTTCTGGTTCCATAATGAAACACAAACAATATTGAGAACAACATTTTCCCAACATTCTGGTGGAATCTCCATATAAATTTCTTTCTCAAGATCTCCATGTAAGAATGTTTTTTTGACATCAAATCATTGTGGTTTCCCACCCGTAATTAGAAATAGAATTTCATTTTAATAGAAAGCTTAATAGCCGAGTAAAAACATACTCATCTTTTTTGATAATCATGTTAGATGAAATGAAGAAAAAATTAGAGAGAAAGTGAGAAGATTTGTGAAGAATGGTGGAGAATACAGGAATTATATATAGAAAATGGAATAACATAGGCGCCACATGCAATGGTGCAAGGCTCACATGCATGCTACATTACCCATGGCGCCAAGGTAGTGCATGTGTCACACCAGATGACGCCAATATGTTATTTTCAGTGTATGCACCATTGCATCTAACGCATGCTCTTATGGGCGATTTTTTTTGTTTGAAAGTTGGGTATTTTTCTAATAATGGGGAAAAAAATTGTGATTAAGGTCATTTAGTTGTAAATGTTAGTTATTTGGAGAAAATTTTCAAAAAATGTATCACTTTTCTTTATTTTTTTATGTTTTTAATTTCCAAAACTAAAAACTAAAAATCATAATTTCTAAAACCTATTTTAGATTTTTAGTTTTTAAAATTCAAAATGGAGAAAGT